GAGAAAAAAACCACCACCACAAATTCACATTTTTTAGAGGAATCTGCATGCTGAGTCTCAGTTCTGCTTCTTACACACAAGATAGTATGGGCCCCAACTATGCATTCATTCCATGAAAACTAAACCCCCTCTATGAGCAAGGCAGACTGACACAGTCTGGTCTCCACCCTTAGGTAATTTTCAGAATCACGAAGAAAGCAGCTATTAAGTAAGCAATCACTGGGGGCCAGTCCTGGGCACACCTGGTAAAGTGAAGCCTGCATGGAACATATCAGGAGCAACTAAACGGCAGTGAAAGAATTCCTGGAACCCCCGGGGTGGGGTAAATAGCAAACATACTCAGCTGATAACCCAATTCCTGGAACCCCCGGGGTGGGGTAAATAGCAAACATACTCAGCTGATAACCCAATGGCTGGACGTTGGAATCCACCAGGGAAAAAGGACCTGGAGATTTCATTCTGAAAAATTCGATGTTGAAAATCCTATGGAGTACAGTTCTATTCTGACATACGAGATTGTCATGGGTCAAGGTAGATGGGTAACAAGTTTTCATAAAATATATGTCTGTAACTATGGCTGGGGCTTGCTCCTTCTCATGGGGCGCTTCATCTACAGCAGCCTCTGCCTTCCCTTAACCCAACGGTCTCAACCCCTTTGGAGGTCAAACGACCCTTTCACAGGGGTTTCCCGATTCATAACAGTAGCATAATTACAGTTAGGAAGTTACAATGAAAATAATTTTATGGTTGGGGGTCACTACAACATGGGAAACCGTATTAAAGGTTTGCGGCATTAGGAAGGTTGAGAACCACTGCCTTAACCAGTCACTGGCTTGTTGACGTGTTACCTATTTCCTTCACCAGACAGGTCGCTATCTAAAATTATCTCCTCTATATATCTATTTGGAGTCCGGATGGTGTTGTGGGTTAGTCATTGAGCTGCTAACCACATAAGTTAGCAGTTCAAACCCATCAGCCACTAGGCAAAGGGAATATGACACTGTCGGCTTCCATAAAGATGACTCAACTCTGAGACCCTACGCAAGGTTCCCATGTGTCAAAACAGACTGCATAGTCTAATTTATCGGTTTGCATGTTTATTGTTTCCCCATTAGAGCGGAAATTTGTGGGTTCATAATAGAACGTAGCTTAGTACCACTCACTACAGCTTGCTGTATGAATAATCGTGTTTTGGGGCCGTATTTCTCCTAATCTGCAAAATGAAGATCTCGACAGTGATAACTTTACCCCTACCCCACCCCGACCGGCTGTCAAAAATGAATCATCAAGTTCTCCTCCCACTCTGTTGCTCACAAAAAACGAGAACATTTGCAAACCAGGTGCCGGCCTCTGCCTCGTTTTGGCTCTGGGGACCCTGCACCCAGCTGGCTGGGTGGTGGTGGTGGAGGTGGGGGGGAGAGCCACGACAGCCGAGACGACCGGGGGAGGAGTCCGGGAAGTGGGGTCTGTCAGATGACAAGCAGCAAGAAGGTCCCGCCCGGGACGGAGGAGGAAGTAGGGCTGACAGTAAAAAAAGGCGAAGCCGGCACCTGGACTTGAAAATAAAGGAAAATAAAGTGAGAGATGCTTGGCCCGAGGAGTAAGGGGACGGGCTCCGACAGCCTCTTTTCAAGCGCTGGGCTCAGCATACTCCGCCTGCCCTCGGGGGCCGATACCCCGAATCCGGCACGGAGGTCCCCACGCCTCGCCTCTCCCCGAGACCCCACTTCATTTTTGCCCTCCTCAGAGTATATATTATTTCTCACCGCTCTTTCCAATCCCCGCCGCCTCCCCACACACCCCGCCCGGCCCTCTCACCGGCATCTTGAAGGCGCCCGGGCTGAGCCTCAACTGAGTAATACCGACGAGAGCACGGCGCTTCCGGTCTGGAGGCCCGGGCGGGGCAGGCGGAAGCGAGCCGGAAGGGGAGGGCAAAGCGCTTCCGGCGTTCCGCACAGCCGTTGGCTCAGCAGCTGCACAGAGTCGAACGAGGCGCCAGGGGGCGTCCGAGTACTAGACTAGGACCGTCGCGCATGCGTAGAGCGAGCGAAACAACCATTGCTGTCAAGAAAAACTAAAGAAAAAAGCCAATCTATTTGTTCAAATATCACCTTTTCAGGGAATCATCACTATCCACCCTACTTGAAATTTAATCCGAGCCCACCTCCCTGTTATCTTTTCCAGTCTCATACTTTCTTAGTTTACTTTTGACATCTGTACCACCTCATCCACAGCAGCATCAAAAAGCATTTTGTCCCTTTGGCTCCCCACTGATTCCCGCGCCCCGAACAGTGATGGTATACAGGAAACGTAAGTAAATATTTATGGAGTGAATGAACCCAAATCACTTGTTTTAAAAATGAGTAAACTTGAGGACAGGAGAAGGGAATGAAGCAACACCCAGGATTGCAAATTCCTTGTGTAAAGACAGGATAGGAGTGGCCCCTCTGGGTTTCAATCTCCGCTCCAACATTTACTAGCTGTGTAATTTTGGCAAGCTGCCTCTGTGCCTCTATACCACATCTGAACATGGCAATAACAGTCCCTACCTCGTTTGATGACAGTTAACGGAATTACATGTGAAGTGATCCGAATTTATGTATTAATGCATTGAATTTATGGAATCATCCAGCACTAACCATATTCCATGTTTCTGGTTAGCCTAAGTCACGCCACCTTTGTCTTGTTCCTCTGCAGAATTTTTGAACTTTCTATGCTGCTCACAGCCAGATAGATACATGGTATGTGGCCATCTGGATGATTCTGCTTATCGGGTCGTTAAGAAATAAGCAATATTCTTACTGTTTTTATCAAATTGTTATGGTCACCATTTACATCTTGTGACCTGAGTAACAGAAAGCACCTGGCAAAGTCCCTGACTCCCCCAAAGGGGACAATCCAAAGTAAACACGCATAAACTCTACAGACGCTGATCACAAGTGGGACTCCATTAGGATACCCTGCGCGTCGCTGCTGTCCCATTCTAATAAAGCTGCTCTCTTTCTAACTGGAAGTTGGTGAATTTGGCTCCACTACTCCAGTGCGGGAACCCTTTATAGGGATAACACTGCCGCCGAGTCTTTTCTTTGCACCTCCCAGACTGAAAACTCTGCTTTCTACTTGTTCCCACAATTGCCATCTCCTTCAGGACTCTGGCCAAGCAGCACCTCTACTAGATCCCTTGGGCTGCTGAAACAGACTATCACAGTGGGTGGCTCAAAAACAAGACTCATTCTCAAACAGCTCTCACATCATGCCATTTCAGCTTCTGAAAGGTTGTAGAGGAAGTTCTAATTTTGAATAGCGGGGTCACCTGTATGCTTGAAGTTGGGGACTAACGGTCCTACAAGACTACTATTGTACTTTTTTTTTTGGTACTACATTTTCAATGTAGAAAACTAGACAATACAGACAAGGCATGTCTTATCTAGATCCTTCTAGGCTTTTTTCCCTTCATACATATAATTAAGAGTCATTCTTGCTGCCCCAGAAAGACCTCATAAACATGATACTAATGCTTATGTTTTATTACAGTAATTCTTGCTTTCCCCAAAACCCTCAAACACAAAACAATAAAATAACGTGAGATTTTCACTGTAGCAAGGTGCTAATCTCTGTTATATACAATCTATGTACATTCACCTTAACTTTCTCAATATAAATTGATGTGGTTCAAGTATCACCAACAAGATTACACTTAAAAAAAAAAAAAGATTACACTTTAACGGTGGCAGCAGCAGCACTCAGTATGGTTCAGGCATCTACTGATAAAATAAAGCGAGCAGTCCCTTTTCCTTCTCAGAAAGATAAGTAGCTCTCTATGGCGGCAGCCTTCGGCGAGGATAATCCATGGATTCAGCCCCCACGTTCTTCACATGTATGTACACCGTCCCTTGTTAACACAACAATCTTCAATCATTCTGGTGTTGTTCTCCAAAGTATTCATCAAACATAGATGAGGATGCATCTTCATGCTCCTGGCACAAGAGAAACAGAAGAGAAAAAGCGTGTATTTCCCTGCAAGTCACTCGAACATGTATTTCTGTATTTTCTCAAGAATGTTCTCTAATGAGCTAGCACCCGATTGGTGCTCTGGGCATCAATCATAGTTGATGGCTGATGGTTTCAAAAGACATGCCTTATGGGTCATGAGTTGGAACTGACTTGATGGCAGTGGGCTTTGGTGGCAAATTAATGCTTGTAAGTATTGGGAAGGATTTCTCCCTTGAGTTTACAATCACTCTCACAGGTTCACAGCTATGTGTGGACCACCATCAGGCTTTCCACAGACTTTATGTGAGAGCAGCCCATACTGAATTTCTTCTCTTCTTTGCAAAACCATCCACACTTTGCTGCTTGGCGCTTGACAGACATAAGGTCAGTGGTTCAAGACCACCACTCCACGGGAGAAAGGTGAAGCTTTCTGCTCCTGTAAAGATTTACAGGCTTGAATATCCTATATAGGGTTGGAGCCAAATTATGTGTTGGAATTGACAGCAATGGGTTTGGGTGTCAAAAACTTGCAGAGGGACCTTGGTGTTGTGGTGGGTTACACATTGGGGTGCTAACCATAAGGTCAACAGTTTGAATCCACCAGCTGCTCCCAGGAAGAAAGATATAGCTTTCTACTCCCGTAAACAGGAGTTTCCGAAACCCACAGAAGCAGTTCTACCCTTTCCTATAAGGTTGCTGAGTCAGAATCGATTGAGTTTGTTTTATGAGTTTTGCAGGCCACCAGATAGCTCAACTGTGGGACACAGAAAGATTTCTCCCAAGTTGTATCCCCCAGTTATATGCCAAACCCAAGACACTGCTTGCTACACTTGGTAAATGACTGTATACCAGGAGGTCAATGAAAGTAGGTCCGAAGTTATTCTCCTTAAGGGTATCAGCCATCTAGAGCAACCAGACTGTACCGTCTGACTCACTCTAAGTAGGGCTCACTCCCTTCTGATATTGTTCCCTTGAAGGCAAGCCTGGGACGACTCAAAGGTGACTAAGGTTAGGCTACTATATTGAATCTAAGGTCCACCAATCTTGCCACATTCCATCCCTTTACTATTGCATGTACACCCCTAGGTCATCCCCCACCTACTGCTTGTATTGCCTATATTACAACCCTTTCCTATGACGTAGGTTGTTATCTGTAATCAGAGGGCTTGCATGCCCCCAAAGATATATAAGCTTTGGTTAGAAATAAAACCTCAGGAGAGTTCTCTCCTGCTGTCTCATCTCCCACCTCCACGTGTACCACCAAGAGGAGCTGAGGTGAGCATGCTACCATGAAATGTGTCTGACGTCTTCATTTTACTCTCCCTCTCCTATTTCCCTATGACTTTACTATGATCTTTATATATCTTAACCATACAATTGCACCTACCGAACCCGTGATTAGGTATGGGGGGCTGGCTTTCCCCACAGCTCAACTTTGGAAATTACCTTTGGTTCTTTAAATTCCAAGTCTTCTCCATACTGAATGGCAAAATCAATGTGCTGTAACACAATGTTCATGCTTTCTTCATCTGACTGGTCGTAAGGTAAAAACCTCACCATGCTGTAGTCATCGATCTGTAAGTTGGGGAATCCAGAAAGAACCACTTTGAGGTTGGTTGTGTGAAACAAAAACAAACAGTATCCTCAGCCTACAATTGAACTTTAGAAGTGCCAATTACAAATGTACTGGGGGAGAAGAGCAGGAGAGGGAGGAAGGCAAGGGAGATAAATGCCAAGAGAACATCAACAAATCCTTATTGATTGTTTCTGACCTGTGACCTACCAGAACACCATGAGCTTATTATGGAACTGGACACTCTCCACTTTGTGGAGACTTCGTACAAGCACAGGCCGCTCCAATACCCCGACGGGCTTGGAATA